GGGTGGGTGTGCATCTAAAACAAAAGAGAGAAGGTCATAGATCATTAGAGAGTGGGAGGGAGAAAAACTGAGTGAGAGAGGAATTGGAGAGAAAAAGGATGCAAGAAATGATGGATGTTGAAAGATGAGGTGTTGAAATTATAATTTTATCTTTTTGTAAATATATATGAGAAGTTAAAATATTTCTTAAATCCTTTTTAAATGGTCCGTATGTTCCAATACACATGGCATAGCTCTTTAACAACGACATTAAATAATCACAGATTTATTATGACATTCCCCCCCCCCCCCCCCCACAAGTATGTCCCGAGTGGCGCTCTCAGAACAAAGGCGCGTAACAAAGTTAAATACATGAATATACGCGGTGTTTTGGAACTTTGGTGTTGATTGACATGACGCCTCATTTTAGATAGACAATCAGCCTATACAGTGCGTCCCAGAAAACACGAAACCGAGAATTGCCAATGTTTTATCATAACTTAATCACAATTAACATTAATAAATGAAACATATTTGTAGATCAGTGTAGGTCCACGATTAGAGAGAGAGAGATAACAAAACAAAAATTGGGGGGGGGGGGGCAAACATCCATAGAGAGAGAGAGGAAGATAAGAAAGGAGACATTGGTGATTCGAGATAGATTATCAAGAGAGAGAGAGAGATTAAAGGTGTAGTACCCAAATTACTGCCCACCTACCTGACCCATGCCCTGACCAGGGCAAGGAAGTGGTTGAATTGTTATGTTCCTTCTAATGATGTCGCTTGAATCCACATTGTCTTTGAAGAAATGATTCACCTACCTGAATAAATGTATACTGCGTCACTTCATCATCAGCCCATCACATCATCATCACCATCATCATGTTAGTATCAACATCATCATTATTTTTAAATGCGCAAATCTGATTTGTTGAATGAAACACTTACAAAAAAGATATTAAAATAAAGCGTCTTTACTTACAATCGATTGCAACTATTTGTGCTACTTGGCCCAGCTCTATTATCATCACCATCGCTTTTCTTTATCATCATCGCGGCGAATATGCCAACTGTCACATATTCATGAGCTAGAAAAAATATTTATCTCCGTAACATACAACTGCTTTTCAGGACTAATAGTTTGTATTGGATATTGCTACATTGATAGCAAACTATTCATAATTGCATGCATATCATTATATTGGTATTGTATATGGGATATAATGTACAAACTGTACATCCAAGTGAAGACTAAAGGATGACGAGGATGGTGTGCGATTCTGGTGAGGAACCAAAGGAGAAGAGGGCATAGACTGTAAAATTTATACAGAACTTGGTGGAAACAGGTAGGTAATTGATATTGTTCTCGAAGTATTCATCATAAAAATACATTCACTACTAATCGTAGTCGTAAATATTGGCTTGATTGAGGCAGTGAGGGATCTTAGCCTTGGTTATCACACCCCTAGGAATCACGGGCGGTTCGTGGCTTGACGTTTCTTGGTTGGAGTGGCAGGTAGTGTCTTGGTGCAGGGGGAGGATAATGATTAATTGTCTGCAAGAGGTAACTTGTGGAAACACTTACGTATGATTGGGCGGGCGGGGGGATTGGGGTAGCAGTAGTGTCTCAGGATAATGATCAATTATATGCTACCGGTAGCTTGTGAAAAAAACTTACTTACTTTATTGATTGCAAGACAATAAAGCCATAAACACCCTCGTATATATATATATATATATATACATATTTTACAGATAAGAGAAATTAAAAACGAAAAACAAACATGTGGGTTATAAAGGGCCATAGATCATTGTGGAAGTAGACTACCGGTACTAGTATTCCTCACTTCATACCTAATTTATACATAGTTTTATTAGTTAAAAACAAAACGGGATTTTAAATCAGAACAAAGCATGCATAAAAAAGTAGTAGAGCCTACAAACACCAGTCATTTTTCAGAAAATCCGTTGTGAAAAACAAGGAAAGAACTCGAAATAGCGTTAATTATTTTTGAGACTGAATATCATCATAATAATCAAGTGACAAAGAAACAAGATAAAATGAACACCAGCAAGCTAAACTGAAAACACGAGCAATGCTCGAAATGCGTCTGAAAAGCATGCAGGGCAACAAAATAAAAACATGTCAAACTATAACTGCAACAACAATTATAACAACACCAACAACAGCGAGGCCGTAGCGCTGACGGTCTACACCGCCATAGATCTCCCGTTCCGCCCACGTCAATTTGCCTATTACGCTCGGCTAGCTCCTCCCCTTCTCTAAAGCAGTCGCTATGCGGAAGTAGCGTTCCGCTAGCTACTGTGCGACGTGCTGGTAAAAAAAATGTGACATAAAAAGACAGATATTGGAGGCATTTCCGCTGAAAAATTAACCAGGTTTTGAGGGATATATCTCGGGAATGAAGCAATTGTAAGTCATGAAAATTGACATATATCATTTGGATGGACATTTCTGAATTTTTGTGTTTAAAAATAGTGAATTCACAGGAAAATCGCTAAGTTAAAAAGATCGTTCTTCGTGATTGTATTCGACCACGTTGTGAGCAAGTTTCCCACGCTGCTATACACTGCTCTCTAAATATTCTTTGATATTGCCGACTTGTTGTAGCTTCTTGTAAAGAGACGTACGTCTCTGCGAAATTTACCAGACCCTGTTTGCTTTCAACTGTAATGTTTGGGACATTCCTGGCGCACTCGAAAAATTCCATACCCGTTAATGAACTTCCTAACGGGTATGGGACATTTAACGGCAAGGGGACATTTAACGGCAAGGGGACATTTAACGGCAAGGGGACATTTAACGGCAAGGAGACATTTAACGGCAAGGGGACATTTAACGGCAACTACAGAACCGACCCGTTAGTAACGCGTTATTTATAACGTTAGCGTTAAACGCGTTAAATCGTATAGTTTATTTTGACTCATACTGTATGTAATATGAAACCAGGTACTTGTCATACATGTACCGGTACATGTAAACTATTTTTTGTTGTAACCCGTAGAGAGATGTGGATGTGGTCTTTACTACATGTAAGTGAGTCAAATTGTTGATAGTTCATGGAACAGTATAAAACTTGAGCCTAGCATGCTCAGTCTGAGGGAATACAGTTCCCTTCTGAAAGTTGAAACCTGCACTCTTGTATACCTATTGATGCATGAAATCAAAAGATCCTTTGAACTTATCCAATAATGTATCTAATACATTAGCCGCATAAATATCTAATTTGTGCTGACGCAAGTACTACTATACAGCACCTTTACTAGTAAAAATGGGGCGAGTTTGTTGATCTTGATCAAGGCCATCACAAAGATTCTTTGTGGAGTACATGTAAGATATGGGTGTATTACAAACAGAGTAATGAAGGCATGGCCATTGATTCATGTTTTGATTACATGTATCTGAATGGCTCTACAACAGCACAGGTCACTTATTTCATTTTTGAACATAGTCACTGGCATGAAAAATTGAAAAACTGAATAGAAAACATTTTACTCTGTTTGAGCGAATGCAGTGTATGGTGTGAAGGGATTGTTGTATGTAGTGTTTGGTGAGCAGAGGCCGAAAATAGCCATGGTAATCTAGCTTTATGTATGAGTTTTGTTGCAATAGTATCAAGTACCTGATTTCTCTTCCATTTCAGTAGTGATTAAAATGTACTGGACAGGAACAACTGGATTTTTATTGTTATTACATGTACCTCCCCCTCCCCCCCCCCCCCCAGAGGTTTGATGGGAACACTTTATTCTATGAATTCACAAAATGAAAGGGTCTGCAACCATCCTTGTGCCGAAAAATTAAGGTGACACAATATTCCAATTATTGTTCTTATTGACTCTGGTGTTTCTATTCACCCCAATTTACACAATTGTATAAAATACAGTATACAGATCTCTGTATTTAGAATGACTTGTAGAGTTTCTTCTGCTACATGTACATGACATGTACATGTTGTATACACTGTAAAAATGGCACACTAAAATAGCAAAAGGCACTTCATCTTCCAATCCATGTTATATTTGGCAAGTCCATCCTGACCGTAGTTTCCTTGCTTTCCTGTCACACTTTACCGATCAAATGAATTACCATTCTAAAAATAGTAGGCAGTTGATGACTCTTGACTTTTTTTCTCCCCTTATAAAAAGTGGTAATGGTTATGGTTTCTTAAACTGTGTACACTTTCGTTATTGACTCTCTAAGCCGGAAATACATTTTGACAAGTTCCTGTTAAGAAACCATGTAATGTATACTGTATAGAGAAGTGACACATGCTTTTTGCAGAATTCCAGACAGCTTACTTTCTTTTTATGTTAATTTGATTTAAACGTGCCTACAACGGTCATGTAATAATATAAATATATTTCTTTTTTTGTGTGTACATGTAAAAATTTAAGCAGCTTATTATCTTATGAATATTTTTTAGTCAATGAATCATGTTTTTATGGTGCCAATTGGAAGGAAAAGCTGATTCATTAAACCTTTTAGAAAATGGTTTCTCAGATGGCTTCAAAATTAAATGAAAGAGGGATGAAGAATTTCCTCATCCTTTTTGGGCTTGTATTTGTAAAAGCAAAGTGATTTAAAGGTTTAAGTTTAAACCCTGACTACATAAGTAGGTAAAATTATTCCATTGATTCATTGAGCACGGAGTATTAATCTCTTATCTCTTGTGCATGTGTGTGTGTAAGTTGAATCTATTTTGTTGATTAATAACTGAAGAAAAATTATGGCCGGCATCATAAAAGTAATATCTTATTTTGTAACTGAAATTCAGTGTGTTCAATTACTTCTTACACTGATTGCCATAATTTGCCAAGATTTTTAAGGTGCTCCATAGACCAGTGAGCTACATTAAGTGAGGGCAGGTTAGTTTGATCTGTGCATGTCTTCATGAGCACAGGTCTTTGGTTTTTATTCTCTCTCTCTTTTTTTTTTTTGGGGGGGGGGGGATGTATACATTTAGATTTCTTGATTTATTTATTCTTTAATCTTTTTTCAGGTGACATCCATGGGCAGTACTATGACCTGCTAAGACTGTTTGAGTATGGCGGCTTCCCCCCAGAAGCTAACTATCTGTTCCTTGGAGACTACGTAGACAGAGGGAAGCAGTCTCTGGAAACTATCTGTCTCCTCCTGGCCTACAAGATCAAGTACCCAGAGAACTTCTTTCTCCTCCGAGGAAACCACGAGTGCGCCAGTATCAACAGAATATATGGATTTTACGATGAGTGTAAGCAATGTGTGATCCTATTATACCCTTGTGACTATAAATTCATCCTTCTTTATTGTCAACTCTTAAATAGAAACTGCAAGTTGTATGCATGATCATTCAGTTGAAGGGGAGGAGAACATAACTTCTTGTACTGTAAATGTAAAGAGACATAATTGTCAACTTTTGATTTTTTGCGTCTGTTCACTTCCTTCTCGTTTTCTGCAACATCAGTTCACTATCTACTATGAACTTCCTCGTTACTGTGCTACAAAACATTTATATGAAGAATAAGTAGTTAATGTTGCACACCTTATGGATATAAAGTGATCCAATAAATGTGTGGGCCCACCCTTTATTCATAATTAATGGCATAGATATGAATTTAGTATGACAAAGAGAACAATGGGGAAAAGTTATTGATGAATATGATTTACTGTTCATTCCGTTGTAAATATATGAGAATTTTTGAAGTGCAATAAACACTGATTGCCAGAAGGGGTGATAGGAATGCTATCATAAGATAGTGTTTACCTTGCTACCAAAGGTCAATATATTATGTGTATCTTATCAAGGATGACAGCCTTAATGCTTGGAATAGGGTCAAATGAAAAAACTCTCTTGAAGGCAGTATTTCAATGGAACACAGCAGTAAACACTAACCATATATGACATCTGTATTGCAGTAAAGGGGGATGTTATGTTAGTGATTTTCTTATGTAAATTCACATGTCCATGTTGAGGATAATATCCTCCTATCTATTTATCTCCTATGTGTCTTTTGAATCAGTATGAAAGATATTTATACCCATTTCAGAAGACATCTCTGCTCAAATTGAGGAAGTAAAGATGTACAATATTTGATTCAACACACATGTAGCTATGGCATGAATACAATGTAAAAATAGTGTTTCTTAGTTTCACATTCTATTTTACTTTGCTTACATTTATGTACATTTAATTGCCCTATGAGGAAGACCACATTTGTGCAAACTTCTGAACAAAACAATCGCATTAATGATGTAATTTGAGCTCTTGCCTGTACCCTAAAGTGCCAGGCAGGGAAATGGATTGTGAACGAGAAAGGATATCCTCTTGGTTTTTATTTGTCATGTGGTTTGTAATGATGAAACTTATGATAGGTATGACTTACAGAGATAGGATAAAACATTTCCAAAACAAAAACAGAGCTGTATAAAGAAGAAAAGAAGAAGAAGAAATGCCTGATAATCTTTCTGATTTTTCCTTGTATTGTGAAACTTGTTAAAAAGTATAAAGATGTAAATGGGGACAAGCCAAATTAGTGAATGAAAGGAATGCGTTATTATCTGGGGAGTGTTTCACAAAGATCATAAGTTGAACTTACTCTAAGTTAGACTTAAAATTTATGGAGAGCCGTTAGCATCTTTGAAAATGTTTTGTAAACGTTATTTTCAAAGGCATAAATGTTGATTTAAATCATTCATATTTTCAATTATCATGGAAGATTTCATGTTCTTGATGTGGAATTTATGAAAAGTCTAATATACTTGGAATTTTACTTTTAAACATATTTCATTTTAAGGCTACAAATGGCTCTCCATAAGTTTTAAGTTCAACTTAGAGTTAAGTTTGACTTAGAAGCTTTGTGAAACAGCCCCCCTGATGTGTTTTATTTGGTTATTTCTCTTAACATTTGCAGGCAAAAGGAGATACAACATCAAACTGTGGAAGACGTTCACAGACTGCTTTAACTGCTTACCAATCACAGCAATCATTGATGAGAAGATCTTCTGCTGTCATGGAGGTGAGTACCTACAACGCCATGCGTCATTATGCAGACAAAATAGTATCTGATGTTGCCTTTAAGCCAGTTCACAGTTGCAGTCTGAGCATGAGCAGATAAAGGTCATTGCAGAACAAATTTTGAAATACACGAAATAGATGAAATACTGGATACGTGCTCCTGAAAGTTATGTAATCATTATTCATTCATGCACATTTAGTGCACTCCGTGATACACAGGTGGAAGTATTCTTTGAAAAGGGGAAAGAAAGGCATTTATATAGCACATCCATCGCTGTAGGAGTGATTATTTCAAAATCTACAAAGTGGGACCTCTTCATGTTTTGAAGATCTGTAGATATTCGGGGTCATTGCAGTAATGTGCTAACCGTGAACTGGTCTATTCTTGGATGTCACAGGGAGTCAACTAGAAATATGTGATTCCTAAAAAAGGGTTGGAGTTTCAAGAAATATTGTGAAAGTATTTCTGAATGTATACAAGGATGTTTAGTAGGTTCATAGGATAAGTTGGATATAAATAAGTTATTGAAAGTTGAGACTGTAATTTCTCAATTATGTTTCAAATATCAGAAGTATTCCTGAGTCTATAACAGTTGTGGGACATGTGCTCCTGTGACACTTGCTCCCTGACAATGTCCCACACTAAACAACTTATTTTGAACTGACCCTTGACCAAATGCAATCCCTAACTCTAACAATAACATTGAACATAACCTAAAACCCTATGACAACCCTTGTCTCGGCAACAACAAAAAAATCTTTTCTCTTTGCCTAATCCTTAACCCTATACTTTCGGGCAAAAAAGAGCCTGGAGCAAAAGTTAGATCACCATAAATTTATAAGGATGTCATTGAGGGGTATCTGATCATTACAAGTTGGAACCATTATACTTCTTGACTCTTGGAGCCTATAACTAGGGCTACTGTTTTCATTTCACATCTTTTGTATAAAAAAACCCTGCTTTGTTTCCTTACTACAGGTCTGTCTCCTGATCTTCAATCCATGGAACAAATCCGTCGCATCATGCGTCCCACAGACGTACCCGACCAGGGGCTGCTCTGTGACTTGCTCTGGTCAGACCCCGATAAAGAGACGATGGGATGGGGAGAAAACGACCGTGGTGTCTCATTTACGTTCGGCATTGAAATCGTATCAAAATTCCTTCTCAAGCATGACTTGGACCTCATATGCAGGGCACATCAGGTAATTGCATTGATCAAAGATTATATTATGATTATGTTTAGTGCTGTAACATCACGGATATCTCCAATTCCGTTTAACCGCCTGTCAAAACCGGACGGTTTTCGGTTAAACGATTTATTTAATTTTTTTTTTTTTTTTTTTTTTTTTGGCCGTGTGAAAAAGCAGGAAGGTGATTTAACTGAAGGCGCCGATTCGTGCTTGTGAACTAGTCACAAATAATAGTAACAATGTCGTTTTAGAATAATGTGTAAGATCATTAAAGTAAATTAAAAACAGTAGAGGACCTAGGATAGAACCTTGTGGTACACCATGTGTTAAACTTGGATGAATATATATTGAGATCTATTACAAAGATTACTTTCAAACCAAGATGACAGACAAATTGGAGTGTTGTTCTAGTTTCCAAGTGGTAAGTCATCACATCGATTACTGAGCTAGGAGACATTGCCAGGCATAGTGCCAGGTGGAGGGGCATAAATCGAAACTTAAAAAAAAAAAAAAAAAAAAAAAAATTATTTAAAAAAAAAAAAAAAACGGGAAAACGAAACCGTCCAATTGAAAACGGAATCCGCCATGGGCGGTCGGATACCGGACGGTTAAACGTTTGACTACAGCACTAATTATGTTTCAGGTGAATTTGTTTTATGTTTGGTCACATGATTTCAATGGTATTCCTACAAGCCTCTGACATTATGGCTCCCTCCCCCCCCCCCCACTCTTTTTTTTCTATTGTTAACCTGAGATGGACCAAAATCTTGTATGCCTGATAAGGTACATTGAATATTTACATTGATTTATCGTGAAAAGTGAAACATTGCCTATAGCGCACTTAAAAAAGATAGTAGATACAAAGGCATGTTGGTTATGCATCAAAGGTTTCATTATTGAAGGGATCAATCTGATTGCAACGTGTATGTAGCACATGTCTAATTAGTGACCTCATTCTTACCAATCTGAACAGTTTTAATCAATCAGGATCTAAAAATGTTATGTTTTGTTTAACCTTGCAGGTAGTAGAAGATGGGTATGAGTTCTTTGCTAAACGACAACTAGTAACTCTGTTCTCAGCCCCTAACTACTGTGGAGAGTTTGACAATGCTGGCGCCATGATGAGTGTGGATGAAACTCTGATGTGCTCATTCCAGGTAAAGTGAAGCAATAAACGGAAAGGTTGAAAGGCATGTCCAAGGGGTTTCGTTTTAGGGTGTCCCCTTGCATTTCCAGGTATTATGGAGTTAACAAGATGAATTGACATCCAATGTGTCACTTTCCTTCATATTTGATATGATCCAAACTGTGTAGTCGGATCATGAACTTAATAAAAATATCAGATGTACTAGAAATCCTTAGATGTGTTTGATAACATTTTGGACACAATAGCTTGGACTTGCCCTGGAACAAAACCATAGACATCTCCTGTTTTACTAGAGAAGAAAACGCCAGTGCTTGCTGCTTCAAATGTCCCACCATGTTAATGGCAACAACACTCTTGAAATATGTCCTGATACACCTCTTTTTATGGTTGAGTCTTTATGGTTGAGTCTTTCTAAGTATTTAATTATTCTTCTCAAATGATACTTGTAATGCTGGGTGTCTGTACAAAATAAATATGCATAGAACTTAATCCAGGTTTTGATAATCTCTTGGCATAATGACTATCACGCATGAATATCAGAGAGGCTGAACTGTTATTGAATAGTAACACTAGCTACAGGAAATCGGTCACTGTCACATAGAGATTGAGTTGATTGACATTTGGTATAGGTTAATGGACTATCGGTTAGTTTTTCTTGGCATAATTTTTCTAAATGTACTAGAATCAAATCCATTGATAGAATGGTTTAAAGGTAAAGACCAGTATTGGCAACGCCCCAATTTCAAAAAATGAAATGGAAGCTCTCATTACCAATCATGTGAAAGAATATGTTTTGACTAATACATGATGATAAAAAATTTGCCGGGAAACTGCCTACTAATTCATATATTTGGTAAATTTATCTCTCTCATGGTCTGGTGAGAGAGATAGGGTAGTCCCATATACATCTTTCTGTGTATAGTGCTTGTAACTTTACGAAGAATGGGCCAAATTTCTTATCATTTTGATGATTCCAGAACCTTGCAGATGCTAGATGCTAGATGATCAACCTTTTCTGATCGATTCCACAACGTTTCTTTCACAATGCAATCGCATGGCCATTACTGGTCTTTACCTTTAAGCTGAACCATGTAATGTCAGTATATAATCAGGAAAGAGATTCAATTCTCTTTAAATATGGCTATGAATGTACTTTAGGGGAGGGTAGAAAAATGCTTGAATGCTGAGTTCTTGCAATATCTTTACCATGAAATTTAATGACTAATTTTGAGTGGGCAACTGCAATATAGATACTGATGTCTTTTTTTATAAACAATCCTTGTATTCTATCTCAAACCTGTGATATTAATTTCGGAAATATTACCTGAGAATAAATGACCTATCTATGTTGAACCCACAAAGTTGGATTTTAGTCATAGTGAAATAGAAGTGGTATTTCTATATTATAAGCAAACAAAAGGAATAAATTGCAAGAACAACAGGATACGTTGTTATGCCATAGTATTATGGTAGGATGTATATATATATGATACTATGGTAATGGGTGTGGCAGGAACTATGAAACATGATCAGGTTGTAGAACCTGTAGCACGTGGCCAAAGAGGTGTTTCAGGTGGTGTGGGTGTCAAATATCAACTCTTAGTGGGTTTGCTTTACCAACGCTAGTAAAGTAGGGCACTTTCAAAAGGTTGAATTGCACTAGAACTGTCTGTTTGATTTCATTTACCATGTACCAAATAGTTTTACAACAGGAAATCATAAACCACAGGCCTTGAAAGGTGTGGAGCTTTTCAAAATGTGACTGATCGCCTAGAGAGTTCTCGGAATTCTTGGTCAGGATTTGTACAACTTTGTGAAAGTAAATAAAGTAGTTTGTCCAAATGTGTCCCAAATATTCAGGTTGTTGAGTTTTAATTCTAAGAAGAATTGTATAACCTTGCTCCACAGTCTGAGAATGCTTATGTCTTATAAAATATATCTCGGTGCTATTTATTATCAGAATGGTTATAATTACTCTGCAAAACTGAATCAAATGCTGTGAAATGTATGCACATGGGATTAATTTCAAGCATCCTTTCCATTCCTTGCCCTCTGCAGATTCTCAAACCTTCAGACAAGAACAAGAAGTTCCCATACAGCGGCATTGGAGGAAGCGGTCGACCGGTCACCCCGCCCCGTGGGACCAACAACAAGGGCAAGAAGAAGTAAAGCCCTTCCCTCCCCCCGCCACTGAGCTTCAACAACAAAACACTGGACTCCCAATCTCTCTCATTGTTCCCAGCTTGATGACCCCAGTAATCAGTGTGACCTAAGGTTGTGTGACCCAAGGTCACTTTACTGTTTGTTATATATTTGCATAGTTCCTTGGGCACCTCTCTCTGTAGACTGTCATGGAGAAGACCCAGAGGGAAGATGACATCCTTGAATGATTCGTTGTTTCAGCAGACAGAGTTCTCTCCTATGGAGGACGTCCTAATCAATGAACAGCCATCATGATGGCCAGGTAGTCACAAGAAACAAAAATCCCATTCAATTTGTATATTTAGGTTTCTTAACAGTGTTTCTACAATCAGAAATAATAGTTTTGCCCCGAGTTTGTTTCATGTGGTGGTACAATACTGGTGATCCTGTTGAAGAACCTTTAGAATTAACACAACATAAACCAAAGGTCTTGATGGCAATTTGAGAGTATGTTAGTCAGGTTATAGACATTCTACTTCAAATGAAAACTGCCAAAAAGTGTGCGCGCGCAGTCATGTTTCGGTGTCTCTTGTATTGATTGAGAGCAGGTTCAAGCCAATTTATTTTGTCAGTTGTGGTATGATGTGTAAGAAAATCTAGCAATGTAATAATGATACAGATTGGAGCTTTAATTTGTTAATTGTGAGCGTGTAGAGGTTTTGTGCAGTTTAGTTCAAAGTAAGGATTTAATCTCCCTCCTGTCCCACTGTTCATCATAATGGACCTTGGAAGGAAAATATTCAATGTTCAAATATATTTTTTTTAATCTGGTTTTATTTAGGTTTGTAGATATTGTCTGTTACTAGAACAGTACTGTTTTTTTTTCATCTATAAGGGCCCTGGGTCCATGTGTGTGTTCTCTACCCTAAATCAATTGTATGAATTTTTCTATAGAGTCGAGTCAATAAATTTGAAAAATCATTCTTGCATGAAAGACTCCCTAGGTGTTTCTGACTCCTTGCACGAAGGGCCAACTGACGCATGCAGACTTGAAAAGTTTAGTGCCATTTTGGTACTACTAAATATGAAATCTCATTTTTGTTATTGTTGTTGTTGTTGCTGAGCAATGCAAAAATGTATGTTCTGAAAATTAAGTTGGAGTAAAAGTCCCCTCTATTAAAGTAAATAGTAAGAATAGAATAATAGCAACAACTTTTCAACTTAGAGTGGAATCCAGAAATCAAAACGAGGCTTGATTACAAAGAACTATTGATCCATGCTTGTGTTCATGTCATGTTGGAACTTATTGTTTTTAGCCAACAGGCTTATGATCAGACCAGTGAGGTTGATTTATACAAATAATACTTGTTTGTCCTTGCCATATGAAACTACGTGCATTGATGAACTTTGAACGCATCAAGAGTCCTGCATGGAACTGGCATATTGTTGCATTAAAAATTGCATAGGACAATCACATGCGCGATGGAAAAAATCAGGTCATAAACACGTGACTTGAATACAGGTATGCCATTGGCTACATTCTCGAACCCGTCTTATAAAATGCTTTAATGCATTTCTAAAGAGCAATAAGATTTATTGTTTGGTATTTGCTCTCTACTCGACATTCAGACGTATTAGCTTTTGAGGAATGAGCCGTTTAGGGGTTATGCGATTTCAGCGTGGTTGGTTTGAGACGGGGATTATTGGCCAGTGGAGTTGAAAGTTGAATGTCACACGTTGATACCGATTACCCAATCATCCGTATGCATTGGTCGATTGAACAGAAAGTGATTTTTAAAGGACTGAACACAGAGATGAATTGGCAGTGAGAGAGAATCTAGATATCATGTTTGCCTATTAATCTGTTTGTAGAATATTGATGGTGCTTGGCTTATATTCACCACCACCACCACTTTTCTATGTCAAGTAAAAGCTCATGCATTGAACACTCTTCAAATGTGTACCCAAATATGTAATTTTACAAAATTGTTTGGATATGTGTGAGCAGCTTAAGCGTGTTCACAATATATCTTGAATTTTAATGTGTATCATTGTTATTAATATTATCCTTAGTTTCTTTATTTATTTCATTATTTTTATTTGTTGCTGTGGTTCACACATGCTGCAATACAGGTGAGGGAAACGTTTGCCTGCTAAAATCTGAAAAGCAGCATTAGGAATACAAGTGATTTGTAGAAGCAATGCATGATCACAATCCAGTAATGCATTAACAGAAAAAAAGGAATATTGGTACTTGGTTTAACCATTACCAATATGATGTTTTTTGAGAGCTGTTAGGTAGGGCCAATTTGTTTAAATAATTTGTGCACTTTTGAGTATGATAGTTTCTTTTTTAATTTCTATTCTAGTCACCCTGTACCAAACATGTAATTACATATAGCAGGAAGTTTGTCATACGTTGTAGCACCTGCCTTGTATTTAAATAAGAAATGTAAAAAAACAGATTATATTTAAGAGAACAGGAACATGTACAACAATTGGATGAATATAAATACGCAGGGCTGTTGAGCAGTATCGTAATGAAACCGTGTGTTGTGTTAAAGTGGTACTACAGTTATCTGAATAGGGGTGGTACCAGCAAGCATTTTAGACATTACAATACAAGCCAGCAAGTACATAATGTAAGCTTTGATATTATTTGTTTGATAACTAGTTTTCTAATTGTTTGATTAAAGCTCTGTCAGCCAGAGCGTTAGTGACTCGATGTAAACATAAACTTGTCTTTGTTCTGCTTTATTTCTGTATGTGATATTGAAGAAAAAAATTATCAAGAGACTATTTCTTTGTACGATAAACATGGTGAAAAAAATTATTCTTTCGTTACAAAGTAGTGATGTGAACATGTTCTGAATGCAGTTATTTTTTTTCAGTCTTTGTTTGAGCCGTTTACAAGCATCCTTTTATTTAGGCTCATATTTTGTTTGTCATCAGAGCCACTACTCTTATTTCAAAAGCCCTCATTTCTGTTCCAAAAGGGCAGTGCAAGAAGCCAATTTGAATTCAAAGCTGGTTAGTTGTTATGTCCCACCTTTCACCCAGGAATGGATGTTTCATCCTTTATAAAAGTTAACTTCTTTTGTGCCAATATTCCAAAGCTTGTGGCCCACTGAATCAATTATGCGAACTTCAAAGACACTTCCTTTCACATTTTGACAGCCTTCGTTTACGGTACACTAGAGTCGGCTCAAGTTAGGGTTTATTCTGCTTGACCAGTTATACTTCTGAGGAGTCATTTCCCTTTTACTCTGGTAATTTATTTCAATGTGAAATCATGCACTCACCTTCTAACCACATGAGAAAAATCTTGTTCGTTTTGAGGCTTTCAATGGACATCCTTTGATGTCTCCTCAGATGAGTACATATAAGAACAAGCTGCACTATATGATACCACTGGGAGTTTCCTGAGCTTTCTCTATAGGGTTAAGTGGAAGAAGATCCTGAAGAAAAGGAGAGCATTTTGTCTATCGAGAGCAATAGGGTCATTAACTCATACACATGTACATGTACTTTAATATAGAGCTACATCGTCCTCCCGGCTCTCGACATAAGATATCATTAACACGACAGTTGAATGTAGGATTTTCCATCATGTTGTGTTATTACAATATGTATCAACGGTCCTTCAGATCTTTCTTGTGACCCTTTAAGTTTGCTTTTAGGATAAGAGTTCTCTTTGGAAATACATGTATGCCCAATCACATGCCTGATCAGTGAGGGAATTTTGTATGGAGGTCTACTCAAACTGTAGGTCATTGTTGATAATATTGTCTATGGATTTCAGAGACATGTGTGAATGAACAGTTATAATATAATACAATGTATTATTTCACTTTTTTGCCATATTTATCCAATTGATTCAGGAATTTGTGTGTATTATTTTGAAAATGGAATTACACCCGATTTTAATTTGTATTCTGTCCATTTATATTTGAATGTCATATTTTTCCTATTATTCGGCTGTTAATATATAATAGTTCTGAATCTCATGGTAGAAGAACGGTATTAAAGATACATTTAATTTATGGGATGATTACGAATGGACAAATTTGACCCATATTTTCTCCATAGGCATCGCATCAGGTGACATACATGTATTTTTATTGTAGCAATGTTGTGAATCTCGAACAAGCATCTTAAAATGTGGATGTCAGATATAACAGTCTCTCTTGACATATAATGCAGTAAACTGCCTCGAAAAGGGTCTCAGCAATACCATTTTACTTGTAAATGAATAGCAACCAGGGATGATGAGGAAAAGTAGCATTGGCAACAAAGGCCCCTAAGCATACTTTTCTTTTTAAATTTGTGTGTTGTAAGATACAGAAATGTAAAGGGCACTCCACCTATGACAGTTTATTTTCCTGCAGCAGGTTTTGAGGAAATTTATTGCATCATGTGTGAACGGGTCCTAAGACTGAACCATCCCAAAGTAAACTCCCATCACCCGTATACTCTCACATATTTGTTGCTATATTCTGCTTGTAATACAGCTCGGTGTTTCTCAGTCTCAATCTTGTACAAATTCTCTTGTTACACTTATAGACTTAATGAAATAAAAACCTGACGTTCTGTTTTGTAAATATCTGATAAAATGGTGTGCGATGAGGTTGGTTTATTTGGTCCAGTGAATTAAAGGTTCAGGTTCATGAGGATGGATGTGCGAAGCCACCAGCCATGGCCTGGGGCGGCTTCATATGAATGAAAAGTACAGTATTTAAAAGTTCTGCAACATATGCTCTAGTGCCAATTATTCCATGGTTGATTTCTAAAAATCTTAACTTCAACCCTGGACTTACATAGTTGACCCTTTTACCCTAGTACATTGACAAAATAATGCCAAGAACAAATATTGCCAGAGCGTGTAATAGATTACCATATTGAAATTTTGAAAGGGGAAGTGTGTGATAACATTGCATGTTGTATTGTGTATTATAGGGTCAGATATGGTGTGATGGATTAATGAGAGAGAGAGAGAGAGAGAGAGAGAGAGAGAGAGAGAGAGAGAGAGATTATAATTTGTTTTCCCTATCTTCAAGGTTATATTAAAAACAAAAATAAATCTCTCTCCTTAGCCCCCCCCCCCCCCCCTTTCCTTTCTCATTCTCATCTCTCATTTCATCTCTTATTCATTAAAGCTTATCTGTACTAGTTTACAGGAGGGATTAGACTGCCCTGCAAGGTCACTTGACAGGTGGTTATCTCATCAACTCAGCTCTCAGTTAACATAAGAAAAAGAGGATCATGGGGGACCAATGGTCACCGATTAGGCACTGTTTGTTATATAGAGGGCAGAAGTAGCTACAAGTAGTGCAGTGGGCCTTTAAAGGAGTCAGATTCTCATCCCTTTTCTCTATCTTTCTCCTTTTGTTTCCATTATACATGAAGGAGATCTCCCCAGCCCCTCTTTCTCTCTCAAATCACCATTATGTGTAGCAACTTAATTTGGCAGAGTTTAGACCAATAGTCTGCCACAAATCTGTCGTACTAATCAGCCAACGGGAAAGGTTATTCGGAATACAATAAAAATATTGTTTTTCTTCATATAATGCTTGATCAGAAATTATTAAGCAACTAAACTCTGAAAGCGAAAAATAATAGGTACTGTATGTGGCTGCAATAACGTAAATATTAATTTATTTTGTTTACATTTATTTTGCCCATTATTTCTATCTTGTAATCAGTTCTGGTTATTTTACATGTACCGGTATCCCGATCTTAAGTTTGAACTTCTAGACTTAACTCATACAACAGTAGCCTAATAGGTAATGAATGCGAACAACTCAGCAGCTGGAAAAATCAAAAGAAACTGAACATTTTCCTGCATAAAATCATTTATTTAAAAATACAATGTATACAGAATACACAAACTGTCAACAGATCTGTGTGTAATTTTGTTACTGAAGTAAAGTACCTTTGGATAAAACAAAATGATCGTTTCTTTTCTTGATCTTTCAAGGAAAGAATGCTATGGAATGCAAACCAGACTTATCAACTACAACAATAGCCATTTTTGACAATGGGGGAGAGTGTGGAAACATTTTGACCATGAGTTTTTGTTTCTGATATATCCATCATACAAATAATATAAATTGAAACATAATTTCCTCCCAAAGTCACACATACTTCTGAATAAAAAATAAAAATATGTACAAAATCATTTGTTTGCAGTTGCAAACTGAGGACTTCACCCCTGACCCTTTTTATGAATTAATTCATTTAAAAATAAGAAATAACAATACTGTTTCTTCTTTGAGAAAATGAGAGAAATAAACAAATAAGATTTACTAGATACATATCCTTTAAAATCAATAAAAACTAAAAATTGTTAAATCAGTTAATCTTCAATAAGTTATGAGTATTATATGCTTTAAAAAAAAATTACAAGCAAACAGAATGAACAAAGAGCCAACAATCACACAACTATCTGAGGGACAAAGACAAATACCAGTCTTTTGGTATGCACTCTTTGCTGTTTATGTTATCATTAAAGAAAAAAACAATTTGTTGCAATACATCGTTCCCCTCAAGAGATATTAAAAGTGGTTCATAATTGCAACTGAATACTGATGAGCATAAACTTCCTGCCAAAAAGGACTAACAAGAATGGATAAAACTGATTCCATCTGCTTATATATCATTTGGCATTGTGCATTAAAAATAATAACAGCTTTTCCCACTTGGACATCAAGATCTCTTACCGGTACTTGATATTTGTCCTTCAAAAAATATACAAAGATTGAAATTTGTTGCTTGCACTTGGAACCAAATATTGCTTGCCTGTGTGACTCCACATTTTGGCTGCCCTTGGATGAAAGAGTTCATGTAGTTGTACCACAATGCATTACACAGCAGTCAGCTGATTTTGTTACAACACAAGCAAAATAATATCAGGGAGTGTGAGTTTGATGAGTAATGAATAGTTTACTATTTAATGGCTTCTGCCAGTTTAAAAAGGTTTAGTTTACAATGTAGGCCAGCCAGCAAGTAAGATATCATCAGCTCATTCTGGTGAGAGCCTGTGGGTTGATAACTCATGTGAATTTACGCAGGGATCACTACCGACCTTCTGGCTCTAAGCTGACTATATTGCATATCCACATACATGAAAATGTTCGTTCATATCGACTACTTCTGCTGATCGAGAGCATGAAGGACATTTAAATAATATTGACTGCCTTCTGGGCAATACAACATATATCGCTCGAACCGAAGGTGAGGGTGATATATGACAAGTCGTATTGCCCTGAATTAGGCAGTCAATATTACTATTATTAACCACATCAGACATCTAGAGCAAACAAGAAACTCTGACTATCTTATACTCTTAAATTATGTAGGCTACACAGGGTTTCCTAGCATTAGAAGTTGCAAAAACATTGTCAAACCTGCACTGTGCATCCAGTGTTTGACAAATTTTCGATACACTGCAAACAGTTTGCCTAGGGTGTGATTGTTACGTCACAATAGAGTTCGCGCAAAGTGCGCATTTTCTTATACGCGATGTAAATTACAGTAGCTGATGCGCGATGTAAATTACAGTAGCTGATGCGCGACGTAAATTACAACTGGCTCTATATTATTGCTCACTAGTTTAACACGCATTTTGCCATTGACTTTTCAGAGCGGGCTAAAATATTTGTTCATTGGTTTACTGTATAACCATATTGACCGGCAAATTACACACAAAATCCCATTGACTTTTCTGAGCGGGCTAAAATATTTGTTCATTGGTTTACTGTATAACCATATTGACCGGCAAATTACACACAAAATCCCATTGACTTTTCTGAGCGGGCTAAAATATTTGTTCATTGGTTTACTGTATAACCATATTGACCGGCAAATAACACACAAAATCCCTTTGACTTTTCTGAGCGGGCTAAAATATTGTAATATTGTTGGCTTATCCATCAAACCTTGAGGGCAATAACATTTAAAAATTGCCCTGCTCAGATGTCTGATATGGTTAACAATACCCGATATAGGTTCTGAGAGTTAATACCCATCTGGCTGTCACCCAACAATATCACATATCAACAGACATGGATGTATTCTATGCATGCCAACACTATACATGTATGTCAGGTGCCAGAAAAGCCCATAAGAATTCCCACAGAGATCACTTCAGCCCTTCTGGCTCTGAGGAGAAGATATCACCTACCCACCCTTTGACTGTCACTGCAGTATCCTTTACATGTGGGCCCATTGTTTAGTTTTTTAAGCCCACTCCTCTCCTTTCTCATTACAAACAAACAGGCTATACCGTAATTTTTAATCAACACCATACTGACTGAAGCATGACGGTGTCAGCTCCATGTGGAAACGGTTAACTGGGTCATTCGGTTACTTCCATAACTCAATGAGGTAGCTTTACATGCAAGCAAGATTGTGTACATTACTTGTTCAAACAAGCATGAGATCGTTGGTAGAATCTCAAAATGATCTTCAATTTGTCCTGAATGACATTTTATTTTCCCCATTTATTTTATCAAAAGAAATCAGTGTTTTTTTTTAAATGACCAATGGCAATTGGTTCCTTTTCGTGTGACTGCCATTATTCATTGGTTTAAATCAAATATATTTTGATTTTGAATGAAAAAAATTGATAATAAAAACAAATGTGATAAGGGACACATTGCCTGGAGTCACCCTACAGCTTCTAAGTCCATCAGACAGCATTTTGGTATCTTCACTTTCCACTATCCACGCATTCACGGCACTGTTGGTCCAATCCCAAAGTGAACCTATAGCTTCTCCATCCATAACACAGCCTTTAAGTGTCTGCATCTCTGCATCCATAACACAGCCTTTAAGTGTCTGCATCTCTGCATCTAGTTCTGACTTCCCCATAATGGTATCCACACACGCTTTAGATTGTCGGTTGTATCTCAATAAGGATCTTTTGCTCATCAGTCTATCTTACAGACAGCATATGGTGACAGGATCACTTTCTTCTCATTTTCCCCCTATCACAAAGCAGTTATCCTGTGCATCTTCCTTGTCACTATCACTGCTGCTCTCATTGCTCTCTTCTTCGCTCCCCTCCTCACATCCTTCTCCCTTTCTCTTGGCTGAAAGAGAATTCAAAGGAGAATTGAATTTTGGATGAATAAGCATTGAAAGTGAAAGTATAATCTGGGAACACATTCTGGTGCTTTGGGCACGACAGCCATCTATCAATCTGTAATTCGTCGGCCCGGTGGCAGAAGGGCGTTAGCGCGCGAGCGACTCGAAAACTACTTTTCAATTATTAGCATTCAGAGATTTGTTTTATTTAAACTGCTTTCCGCCCTGAAAATTGATTTAAAACATAAAAGACTAATAGAAATGTTGTAGTAGAACACGGCCACAATTTTTTTCTTGGAAATAATTGAGTTTTATAAAAGTTTGAGGCGATTTAGTGCTAATGCCCTTCTGCTTAGCACTTCATAATTGACCTGAAATTTGAGCTAACGCCCTTCTGCCAGCCAGGCGACGAATTTAGCAAACAATCAATCATAGACATTGGATCTACTTCTATAATAATCTTAATCCCAACATTATCCCCCTTCCTAACATTTCCCCAGATTGAATCATCTGATCAATCATCTGAAATGGTCTAAAAATTTGTTGTAAGTACCGGGGCAAACACAAGGGTAACAAAGAGGATTATGCTTTTCAAAATGTAATAGCCATATATTTGGGTTTGCAAAGAGCCAATAGTATTAACCCTAACCCTGCACAATTTTCTGCATCATTTTTTTGTTTCATTTCACTGTATTATATGTGAACAAGGCTTATCAGAAATCACTTAAGGAAATGATTGTTCCTATTTTATCAATTGAAATACATTGTATATAAATAAATTAAAGAAAGAAATACATTACACCATTACTTTCTTACCCTTCTCTGCCGCTTTTTCTTTCTTTTTCTTCTTTGCTAGCATGTTCTGCTTTTGTTTTAACCTGCAGATGGCACAACAGAAAGATACATGAATAGAAAAGTAAGGAAGAGAGAGTGAAAAAAGAGAGAAGATTGAGAAAGAGAGAAGAGTGAGAAAGAGAGAAGATTGAGAATGAGAGAAGAGTGAGAAAGAGAGAAGAGTGAGAAAGAGAGAAAGAGAGAAGAGTGAGAAAGAGAGAAGAGTGAGAAAGAGAGAAGAGTGAGAAAGAGAGAAGAGTGAGAAAGAGAGAAGAGTGAGAAAGAGAGAAGAGTGAGAAAGAGAGAAGAGTGAGAAAGAGAGAAGATTGAGAATGAGAGAAGAGTGAGAAAGAGAGAAGAGTGAGAAAGAGAGAAAGAGAGAAGAGTGAGAAAGAGAGAAGAGTGAGAAAGAGAGAAGAGTGAGAAAGAGAGAAGAGTGAGAAAGAGAGAAGAGTGAGAAAGAGAGAAGAGTGAGAAAGAGAGAAGAGTGAGAAAGAGAGAAGAGTGAGAAAGAGAGAAGAGTGAGAAAGAGAGAAGAGTGAGAAAGAGAGAAGAGTGAAAATGAGAGAAGTGTGAGGGGGTAGTACAGAGGGATTGTATGACATGAAAAAAGGTCAAAGGAGATATAATGACAGTCAAACCTGTCTATAGCAACCGCCCATGGGAAACACAAAAAGTGGTCTTTGTAGACAGGTTTCTTTTATAGTACATGTTTCAATGAGGAACGATTTTCAAGGGAACAAAAAATGTGGTCTTTGAGGACGAGGTGGTCACTAAAGCAGGTTTGACTGTAGTAAGTGATCACATGTACTAGTATACACCTCTGAAATAACAATGCAGCCAGTTGCTTCTTAAAATAAGCTAAAAATTGATATTTGTCAGAAGTCCGATACATGCTCTACTCACTTAACATGTGCCTGATTCTGAAATGTAAAAGAACTTTTTAATAAAATATCAAAGTATGTGGAAAGAAAAGAAATTTCACAGCAACTGCTACCATAAGTTGCAAACGTATCATGATTGTATCTTGTTATGGAATATCTGAAAAAGGTGTAATATTAGAAGTATGGGACATACATTCAATACAATTTCCTTCACCTCAATCTAGTTTAATTTTGCTCTGTCCATGACTACGGCAACAAAAGGCAGATCATCAAAACTATTTGATTTAGACTACTACTGCAGAGTTAAATTCAAAGAAAAGATACACATACATAATAGGATCATGCAAAATATTGCCAGTTTGTTGTCCTGAGCGATGAAACGTTTTTTCAAATGCACTTCTCTCTTTGATTGTGCAGCCTTTCAAATAAAAAATTTCATACAAGTTCATTTTCTTTTCTTAAAGTAGATGTCACCCTAATTTTTTAGAAAAGGCTTAGACCCTTACCTCTTGGCACGTTTCTTGGCCGTCTTCTTATCAGCTAATTTCTGGTTTTCTTCAAGCTTCTCGTGGTAGGTACGATCCAATTCATCCTACATTTTAACAGTAATGATATGAAGTTCCTTGAACATTTGTGATAAGATATTAAATTTTCATGCACAAAAGTACTTTTTATGATTTAAAAACACACACACACACACTAAAGTTCATTCTACCAGTATGCCCCCCCCCCCTTTTTAAAGGATATAATATAGTGTGTTACTCATTATGTTCATCCCCAATTTGCAATTCATGGATTTGCAGGTAGAAAGCTCAATGTCATGAAGGCTTTAATTTCAGTAAATATTGATTACAATGGGCATACTCAACCATTTAATGGTTAATGTTGGTTAACAATAATTATATTCAAAGTGTTGTCAGCCCAAATATCAATCCTCTATATATACTGTACATGTACAGTATCTGGTACCTGGAAACATCAATTCAGAATTTCACCTATCACTTTCTATACTTTTCATGTTTTCATCTAAGATATATTAAAAATTACAGCATGGTTATACTCTGACACAATTATATAAAGAGCAACCCTACCTTTTCTCCTTTAACCTGGATGTAAGCTTGCCTGGCGTTCTCTCGGCGACGGTATCCACGGTAGACATGGAACTCTCCACTCCCAGCACCGGCACTAGATCCTAAGTTTAATATAAATAAAAACAAAAAAGATATGAAATATAACAAAATCGCTTTGTTTTCTAAGTTTGAAAACAGTATGTACTTTAAATAGTATATTTTAACAAAATCTGTTGAAATTGAATTCCATAACCTTTTAGTGGTTTTCTTTTCTTATCCCTTTGATTCACTGAGAAGTTTTTTTTCTTCTCAATCATTAAGTTAGCAACTATACCCATATCATGACAAATAACTTCCTATACAGTAAATAAAGGAAAATATTCTAATCTTTCTCTTTCTCTTAGAAACATCCAATATAATGAATACAATTAATTTCATACCAGAATACACCTCACATGTAGGTCATTCCTTGCTGTTTAAAAACAATATTGTTCACAACATTAATTCCTCAACAATGATGGATGACCATTCATGATAGAATGTCCAAACGTTTTACTGGTAACATGATTGACGATTCATAGGGAGATGGTCTACCAATATTTATTTATTGATTAGTCTTTTTTTAGTAGGGTGGCTCCATCAGTAGTTAAATACTGTTTTCCGTGGAGGCCCTATAACATAAATACAAAATTTACAAACTTCATCAGATCTGTTTAGTCTTTTAACAGCTGATCAAACATCAATTTTTAATTGCAAAAATTTATATGAAGTGCATTATTAATATATGCTTCATGCCTGCCAATCTTAGGAAGTGTCATTTCCTCTGTGCATGTCATTCAAAACACACTGGTACTGTGGGCACATTGTGACATTAAGGTGACATTATATTTTAAAAAGCGTATCACATTTATGTCATATATATGTTATATCATTTTTTCTATTACTTTTGTTCTACCTGCTAAGCTCCATCCCTAAAAAAAACACCTCCAAAAGCAAATGACTTCTGTTACATCATCATGCCAATCGTTCATCAGTCAACTTACCCATGACATCTCTGACAAACTCGGCAGGAGCTCTCGGAGTCCATTCCTTCTTCTCGTCTGGGATGTACACTGGCTTATCCTGCAGATGAAGGTCAGAAATAGTAAGCAAATAACTACCGTTGGTGAAGGTGATGGGACAAACTATCACTTCCAAGGCGATCTGGATGTAGCTATCTTTCCGAAGCGAAGCTGAGGATAGATAGCGTATGTGCATTGCCCTTTGTAGATAGTACCTCTATCTTCAGTGAAAGTACGTTGCACTGTGTAGATAGTAGTACTATCTACAAAGTGTAACGAACCTTTTGCTTCTCCCATCAATAATGGGCGATCTGTCTTTCATCACGTGATTTACTTTTGACCAATCGTAGTGCAAGATTCTTAGTATGTGGAATATAATGGAATATAATGCCATATAGTGCCATATAGTTTAGAATCAAAATCTCATCAGAAAAGTGCTGGCGTCAAAAGAAATGAATAATTGAACAAACTAATGCAGAGAAAACACTAGACTGAAAGATTCAGTCTCTGACATTGATGATTGTTCCACCACTGACTGCTTCTATACAGAGACTGAAGTACATGTACATTGTACATGTAGGTGTTAGTGAGGGTAGATTTTGTGTGTGATTGCCAATAACCCTGCAAGTTGGGGCATTAATCAGATCGGAGCAACACCCTCAAACTTTTGATTGGTATCGGCAAATTGTCGGTTCAACATTTTTTTCATTTTTGTTTACCGTTATACTTGAAATTTTGAGCACTCTAATTCCTAAAATTTACTCATATCTTGGATAATTCTCTCATTTGACGTTGTTGTAGTTCATGTTTAAAACTAATTTCATGCCTTTAACTGTTGTTTTTTTTTTGTAATGATCAGAAGGAAAACAAAATGCCAACATTTTTAAAGTTTTGGGCTATCAAATACCCCAAAACATGTAAAACTGGGATCACCGGTATTTTGTCATTTAGAGTTGTTGCAGACCATGTTTTTTGGTAGTAGGTGCCTTTTCATGACTTTGAAATTAATAATATTAGTCTAAGAAAAGAGGCAAAACATGTGAGCCGCCACCTTGGATTATAAATGACAATGGGAAAAATATGCATGCTTACATTATAATCCAAAATGACGGCTAGCATATTATTAATTTCAAAGTCATGAGAAGACACTTAATATCAACAAGCATGGTCTACAACAACTCCAACTGACGAACATTCCTAGCCATGGATTTTTTTAAAGTAATTTTATAGCCCAAAACTTGAAAAAAAAATTCTGCATTTTTTTCTTCTTTTTTTCTGATTATTTTCTGATAGTATTAATTGGTGATCAAAACTTATAATCCAATTTAAACTGATCTGCTGATGATCGGCCCCTGATCCGATTATTGGTTACAGGGTTAATTGCCAATTTGATTGCGTGCACAAGAAAACGGGCAGATTAGCTGAAGTCGCTATAGCCTATTTGGATGTTTTACAATGATTTTTTTATGTTATTTCACTTAAATTGTATAGTACAAAACCGGTAATGTGAAAGAGGATGTCGTTTAGGACACATTTCTACAAGGACAAATGTGTTTGAAGTTGAATACTGGTGAAAGAATGTGCAATTGTTGTATTTTTTTTTTATCGATATTTGTCTTTCTTCTGAAATCTTAACTGACAATCCTCTTTAACATAAGTGAAATTTGCCAATTTTTTAAGGAGAATTTGGGGCTCCCAACACTTCAGAGGGGCTATATAAGTTTAGATAAAGGAAACTGAGGGAAAATTGGCGAAAATCACAAGTAATATTTGAATTTTAAAAACATGGGCATCACCGCATCACTCATCATTATTAGAATCTAACTGTCTTTAACAAACTAAAAGACTTGTTTTTTTTTACATCTTTACATTCACAATTTAGCTACCGAGTATATAAAATACTGACATTCAAAGGAAATATGCCCAAAATAATAAATAAGATGACTTTTCAGCTAAAATCAAAATGATATCATACCCTGACATAAGTAACAGTAAGTAACACACGTTCATTTTGCGAATCCCTTATGATGCGGTCTCGCATTGAAACAGCATTACATCTACAGTCGAAATGTGTACAGGAATAACGAATACAAATGTTCGCATTCAAATAACTAAACTTGGGTTTACTTACAGGATTTCTCATCAATTTTTCGATCTGCATACGCTGTCTGCCTGCTGCGCTCTTGGGAAGAACTAAAGGGTCATCATTTTTTTTACGGAAATGCTTTTTCTTAGCGACGTCACTCTCTGTTGACGGATTGTTGGCCATGGTTTTTGTCAACTGTGCACTACGTCTATGGAGCTGTGCGAATATTCACTTCTTCTTTTTTAGCAAAATGAGCGTTCCATACTTATTTGTTTATTTTCATCTCGCACTTTCATTATCTCCGCTTCCCCACTTTTCTTTTTATATTTATCCTTTTGATAGATGGCATATACAACGTGAGAATTATCATTGGCAGTAATGTTGCAGATATTCTATAAAACATAATAAAACACAAACATCAACAATTATAGATCTAGTAATAATAATAATAGATAAGTCTAAAATAATAATAATAATAATAACAATAGTAATGATAATCTAGTTTTCTTTTTCGCACCCACCCCCTCACACACACACACACACACACACGCACACACAAACACACAGGCACACACAAACACTTTTTTTTTTTTTTTAACAATTTTGTTTTATTTCTCCAGATGTGTAATACAAACCATGACATACAATTGAATAAAATAAACGTGTTCAATATTGATGCTTTGACATAAACATAATTAAACACAAACTTATTTGCAGTATAATATAACTTAGCAACAAGGTAAACGTATAAGTACCTAAACATAATATGTCAATTGTAAATGTTATTTACTTATATATTACAAAAAAAAACAAATCTGGAGATAATTTTACTGAAACAATCCTGCCCCCTCCCTGCCCCCTCCATCACACAGACATACTCACCCTCTATCACACAAACATACTCACCCACTCACACACATACTCACCCACCCACCCACCCACCCCCCCCCCCCACACACACAGTACTCACTCAGTGGATGTCTGCCAACATTCTCAACTTAAGAAAAATATACTAAATAAGTTATCCTAAGAAAAATATACTAAATAAGCTATTGGGACTATTGGTTTCAATAGGGAATTCAGGATATGGGACTACACACACACACGCACACACGCTCGCACACACACACAAACACACACACACAAAGGTAATGAGCTTATAGAAATAGCATTTTTATATTATGGGCAACATTTGGGATTCTTATTCACCATGTATGGAGCTTATAACGTGTTATTAAACATTGAAATCTATTGTCATAAGGCCTACAAAAAAATAATATTGTATTGCCCTTTAGGTGCTAAAACATGGGTCGGTCGGTAGGAAATCTTTTCATTTTTTTATTTTTTAAACTCCCTCTTTGGGCTGATCGATATACCTCAGTTTAAAAAGCCAATCGTAGATTTCAAGATTTTGGGGTGGGTCGCAAAGGGCAATACAACATCTTTTTTTTAAGGCCCAATTTGTTTGCGGGTGCATTTTTAAACATTTATCAAGGCAGGATGAAAGGGGAATATCACCAGAATGGTAGACAGCTGATTATACCCCCTCCCACTTCCTGGCTAAGTTGCTAGATACACTCCTCTCCTAGTTTTCTCTTTTATTTCAATTACCCATCTTTTCTTCTCCAGTGTATAATGTATTGTGGTCCATCTTATATTTCTGTTATCTGTAAGGTAGGCCTACAGTAATATCACCATCGTCATAGTTATCAGGATCATCATTAGCATCATCTTCACATATCCATCTGTTGCTTAATCCTTATCATCACCATTACATTATCCTCCTCCCTCCTCCTCAATATCATCACCATTCATTATCAACCGTCATGTCATCAACCATTCCATAATCATCAGCAGCAACACCATCATCATCATCCTCACATTATCATCACCACCACCATCATTATCGACACCATCTGATCATCGTAATTACCTCTCTAAATCTATTACAGCTGAGATCCTCATCACCTAACATCCATTTTTTCAAAGAAGCGATACATGTACATTGTTTTGCATCTTTACACTCTCAACATTAAGAATTGTTGAAGGAGAGAGCCAGGATTGGATGAGAAAAGGGCAGGCTGAAGAAAGAAAGAGAAACAGAGAGAGAGAGAGAGAGAGAGAGAGAGGGGGGGGGGTGGAGAGGAATGAGAGAGACAGACAGAAACCCTGAGGGAGGCATAGTCTCACACATTGAGGAAGACAGGGCGAGAGAGAGAGAGAGAGTAGAGAGAGATTGTTGTAAACATAAATAGGACCAAAAAAAAGGTCATGACAGATTATGTAACAGAAACAAAACTAGAACAAAAGTTGTGCTTTTAGCCTTTTTAATAGATGTTCAAAATAAATGCACTATTTACAATGCGAGCTTACACAGATTGATGAAGGATCACTGTTTTCACAAATAAATGGACTCTAAATACTTTTTACAATGTTGGTGAAAACAATGTTTACTTCTCCCCTGGGTACACTATTATCAAGATACACATAAACATTTATAGGCTTCATTATAAATGAAGTCGGTCAAATCAATTGAGTTTGTTGTTAAAATAATTTTCTCTGTACAATGCCGTCAACAAAACAACAAGCAAATGACATGTGCAGGGCAATCAAAAGAGATGTAATTGTACTTTAAAGGCAATTCATGTAAGCTATATTACAACCTTAATTAATAATAGTACTTTTGAAAAATAAGAGGCTTCTCATTATAATAAGTTAAAAATGTACATGGGATTATTTCCCAGCACTTCTTTTATAACAATAACAGAAGCTGAGACATAAACACTGTAAGCATAATTCTGCAAACTTGTCTGCAATACATGGAATGCATAAATCTGTTTCTAAAAAGTCAAGCTCCATTTAATTTCCTCTTGAAATTAAATGGTCAATCTTTGTTTGTTTGTTTGTGTGTATTGTTTTCCGGGGGGGGGGGGGGGGGGGGGGGGGGGACAACATTTTTACAAACCAAGTCCTAAATTCAATGAAGAAACAGTTAAAATACCATACAGTAATACTACTGATTAATGAGCACATACTAAATGTGATTTGACACAATATGGCTCTTCACATGCAAATTTAAGTAACCCTGGTTTCTTTTTACCCCAATTTCAAACTCTGAACTATATAAAACAAAAATACTATGGGAATGCAAATGAAGGTGGACATACATGTAAGGACTTTTACTTTATAAAATTTACAAATCAAGTGAAGGGAAAAGATCTGTAAACTGAGTAAACGATTCTTCCCACAAGCTATCTCCTAGGCCAGGAGACCCTAGAGGACCCCCTTCATCACTAAATGGAGATCTGGGGGCATCACTGACACCAGAGTCTGACCCGGATCCATAGTCACTCCTTCCACTCAAGCTGTGAGAATCATAGTCCTTTGAAGGGGAGACCAATCCCATAAGTTCTTTGAGGTCACATGTCAAGGAAGTGTCTGAGTTTAGAGGGCTCATACTTTCAAAGTCGTCAAAAGTATTTTTATCGGTACCCATGGCGAGAAGAAGATCCATTTCATCTTCTCCTTCGATCTTGAAAGATTGTACAGTGTCCATTTCACCAATCTGTGTAATACGATCGCTGGTTATTCTGATACCCATCGTCTGTGGGATCTCAGCTGAATCTTGCGTCAAGGATGCATTAGCAACGAGATCGCTTCCGTTTATAAGGCTCTTATTTTGAACATCTAGAACAGGCTTCAAGTACTCGTGGTCAAACTGGATCAGTTCTTTGATGGATTCCAGCTCTGCTGCTGTGGGCCCCACCAATCCCCGGCGTTGCGCTTGCTCTTGGTCTTGCGCGTCACCAGACACAAGGGCTCCTCCTCCCTGCTGCTCGTCCTGTCCTTCTGGGCCGAGAAGACGAATGGCTCCGCTGACGGCTGCCTGGTTGAGCTGGCCGAGCAGCCCCAGAAGTTCGTCGTCAGACTCCACATCAGCAACGTCGACAGGAAGGTGAGGAAGAGTCGAGTCGATTCCTGCTGCGGAGGAAAAATGAGTGCTGCGGACCCAGGTGACTCGACATCAACCTCTTTCTTCACGGTCGGATGTGTACTGATGGGGGAGGGGGTGGACTCCATGCAATAGCCATGATCCAAAACGACCTGAAACAGCAGATTAAAAAGCAAACATTTTCTTTATAACACAGGTATTTGCTACCATTTACATAATAGTTCTAGAAGTTGGCCCATAAAGTACCAGAATAACATTTCACAGTAATTTCATGAATATGAAAAATAAATCATGAAGTTATTTGACTGGCTGCTACCATTTAATAATTTTTTTAATTTTACATCCAGATATGCGTTGTTAAACAAGTACATGAATCAAATGAAATTTCAGCACATCATTCAATGGATTTGAAAAAATTACAGTTTAAGAACAAGCACCATTTGAGAAAAGAAAAACAAAATTGAATTTGAAAACCTACCACTGACTGCGTCTCTTCTTTGCTTTCCTGGAGACGTTCCTTTAGTTCTTTGTTCTCTTCCAGCAAGGACTTGTTCTGTTTCTTCAGGAGGGAGTTCTCCATGAGAAGTTGTTTGTTTCTGGCCTCCATGACGCTTGTGACGGCCTCGAGGTCATCAAACTGAGCCTTCTTCCTATCCCTTGCTGTCTGTGCTGCTACTCTGTTCTTCAGCTTCCTATACAAAATCATTCAAATAAATAAAACGTTGTCACTTCAAGAAGTCAGGGACAGTAAAATGATAAAAGAACTTTGTTTGGCAAATCTTTTATAGCAAAAGTAGACTTGCTATTATACTCACAATTTTCTATTACGATTATTACCATGAATTGGTTCATAGGGGTTAGAATGGAATCTAATAAGGATATTGTTGTTGTTACTTGTTAATCTCTTATTTTAGTGAAAATATGACAGAAGTATCAACTTGTTTTACTTTTAGCTCATTATAATAATAAAGGAAAAAGCTTTTAAAAAATGTTTGTAATTCTTTAAATTTGTATCTGAATGTTGATGCCCTTACAATAAGTGAGGGGGCCCATAGGATGATGAATGTAATTACACTACAGGCATGAACAGTTTTCATATTTTAAAGTTTTTTCAAGGTAAAAAAGACATTTGCAGGGGGGAAGGTTGGGTTTTACAAAGAGGTCACATACTCACTTGATATCCTTTTTTTTTCATTATTCTTGCATTAAAAACTTCTTTTCTTGACAAAAGATCAATATCGATTAGTCTACATCCACTTTGGTCAACATAGCACAATGAACTTATAAATCCTTATCTCTACGACCTACCCCATCACATTACACAAAAATACAACAGCTGTTCATGCAATCAGCTGTTCGGTTCGTTCATGCCGAGCTTGACAACGATAATAATTAATATTTTCTCAGCGCATTAAGCCGTTATTAACATAGAAAAACACATTTGACCATACTTTCCCATACAACTTGTAAGACTGACACAATCAATAACATATGCCTGCCCTATAAACGTCAATTTTAAACATCAAAATTACCTTCTGTTCATTTTTTCTTCAGTCGAGAGATGTGTCAATCTCTGTCTCTTTCTCGGTGCCGGGTTAGTATCAGGCATCGCCGTCTTGCGGTTGGGGGTCTGCAGGCCCAGTTTTACATCCGTAGCTGCGGCCATCTGCTGCAGAATATGTGCCTTCCTTGAAGCAGGCAACATATTGAACGCTTTAATTTGGTCGGATTTGGGGACAGTCGCGATAATAATTTTCGTAGAAGCCATCTTGAATGCCTCTTAAAGACTTCCTTCGGGTATATATCTGTTTGGAGAGGGTTAAACCCACCCGTTCGCAACAAAAATCGATCTGAAAGAGGAGTTTCTGTCGTCTTCTACATGTCGTTTTTATTTGCCTACTCCCTTATGAACAGAAATTGTGTATACAATCAATAGATGATGGAGTTTTCGCGAATAGGCCACCGTGTCGATTTGTGATTGGCTGCAATACCGGGAGGCTACGTCATCAACCGAGGTTGTGATTGGTCAATTCACTAATTGGTGTGTGCAGTTCATTGTGACGCAATAAACGACACGTGGAAGTTGTTTATAAATAGAAGGTCCTCTTGGATCTTGCATCAGAAAGTCCAACTGAAAAGCGGTATTATCGATATTCCTCACAAATCATTTAGTGATATTTTGATAAATTACGACTCGCACTGATAGGCATATGACCAAATATACTGGAGTTCTTAAAATTAATAATGATCATATCTCGGGCCTGGTTCCACTACTTCATGATCAGATCATGCAAGCCCTTTATTGATTATATAAAATGATAGCGGGCAGAATTATTTTAAATAAGAAAATAAACGACGCCGTCTTACTTCACGATTATTCTTTATTATGCATATAATGGCATTCTTTTCACAACCATCAAACGATAGACAACAGGCTTAGACCATGTGCTAAATCGTTTGAAACGAGTGCCATAAAATGACGAAATTTCCATGTTTAAAGAGGTACATGATGCCTTCTTCAATTCAATTCAATTCATATTTATTTCATTTCAAACAGAAAGATAAACAAAGATATTACATTTTTGTTCATATATAATTATTGTTTTCTTTGTAATTATACAAATACACTTTGCACATAGTTGATATAGTTCAATACCCCCCCCCCCCCCCCCGTTTCATTCAAGTATGATGGCCCCTCGATCTTTCCATGTGTTTTGTTTGACCTGCATGATCTTTTCATTTTCTTTAAATTCTATTCTATTCTAAGCATTTCCTGTTATTCTTATTCCAATCACACACTGTCTACACAGTTATTAAAGATGATGATTTTTATTTATAACTTGTTCACAACAAAGTTTGTTTACAACTTCAGAACCAAAGCAGCACTTATCGATCATTGTATTTTGCCCTTCATACTATTTTTAAAGAATTTAGTCGCTTATGGTTATTTTCCACAATTATAGCTGATCATGCTGTTTCAAATAAAACCATAAAAGAGCTGTGACTCAAACTTCTCCACGTCATTCGGATAAGGTTCCCGACGGACAACAAACTATAGAATTAAAAGGAAAAAAAAACTTTAAAACTACGTGGCCTTACCTCTTGCATCAGCTATATCTTGCATCAGTACTTGTTCTCACCATGGTCAATAACAAACACGCCCCAAACCAAAATGACATTTCCCTTTGTGTGTGGGTGGGGGGGGGGGGGGGGGGGGGTAATGTCAATATCTCGTTTTAAAATGTGGTATGCAATTTTTGATTTCACAAATATTGCTAAAATGTATTATGAATTTTAAGGAAAGTCACGGACCAGTGATTGTAAGGGAAGTGACTTGATAAAGTTTGAGGTAGTGACGTAGCTTCAGGGGGTAGGGATACTTGCCCCCTTTATCAATCCCCCCCCCCCAAAAAAAAAAGGGGGGGAGGCGAATCTAGAAACGGGGAGGGGCAGAGGGGGGAAGGAACGTGGAAGAGAATACGCTACAACCACCCATCGAGTAGCAAGCCTGATGCCCCGTACCCATGATGTCATGTAGGCCTAAAGTACAAGTGCCCCTCATTTTCGGGAAGCACGTACGCTACGCCATTTGTTTGAGAGACACAGGCCATGCAGAAGGGTCGCGTCATTGATGTCCACGAAAAACTTATCGACGTGTCAAACTATTTTAGTGCATCCTGATTAGATTTCGAAATGTCAGGAAATGAAACAATAATTATCACCGTGACTTTGCGTGCTCGTACAATGGGCGCATGTCTTCTCTATATTTGTATGGTTTTAATAAACTTCAAACTGATTGTTGTAATTGGTCAATATCTTACAACATTTTGTATAGTTTAAACTTTAAGTGAAACCAAAATCAATTTCGTTCCCATACATTAATAGAGATCTCAATTCTCAACTAATTTCCAAACTTTCTATATTTCACAGGCCACATCTTACATCATTCCTTTAATTTTAAGCCTTCTATATCTAGCTCTTTATCGTAGATTCCAAATTTCCCTAAAAAGACAACTTAGCACTTTAGTTTTTGTTTTTTGTCCAATTTGTGAGGAAATATTTAGCAACGAATCGTCCAGCCGGTGAGTAAGAGGGGGGCGGGGGAGAAGAAACACATTTATTTATTTTTTGCTAGGGGGGGGGGCGGGCCCGTCACCCCCCCCCCCCGTGGAACCGTGACTGCCTCCTGTATTGTGTTATACATCAGCAGTTGGATATCAGTCCTTTTCCAATCGCTTTAAAAAAACACAGTTTGTTTCACAATGAAATGGCATGACCAGAACTCAGCTTAATCTTTTAAATTTCATTCTATCCAGACTCCAGAGTGAATATACATCCTTTTAAGAGCTCTGAATTATCCTAATTGGAAATGAATAATAAAATGCCGCGCGGAGACAGTCCCACTCACTTTGGCAGTTATTTTTGTCTCTTTTCTTTACGAGCAGGAATTACGACTTGTCACAAATATAGGCATGATTGATGCACACATCGGGTATATTATAATCTCCTGTGTTGCATGTACACTGTTGGTCATAATGGTGGAATATTTATTTTTACCCCAGTTTAGGGAAGGATTTTTAAAAAATTATTTATTTCTAATAGATCTAGATAATGGCATACATTGAATATTAATGTGCGAGTGTTTGTTTTGCGTGACTTCTTAATCATATGTGTGCTACTATGCTAATCAGCTAAGGGACCTACGTCCTTAAGTCATAATTGACAGTAATGAGGATTAATGCCTCACAAAACGGCACTAATATATAGCTGATCGACACGATTTTTATCCTGGGGCCTCAGAGTAACGAGGCCATTGCTTAGCCCCTGAATCATGACTGTACGCAGTGTTTGCTAGGGTACGCGGCCCCTTCCACAAATCCCCCAAAACGAAGAAAATGCAATAAATTGTCAAAAATTCATTGCATTTTCCCCGGCCCCCAACAGGAAAAAGTCCTCTGTAGGGCCATGCATTATGGTTCAAGGCATGGCCACACAGAGGAATTTTCCTGTTGGGGGCCGGGGGGAAATGCAATGAATTTTTGACAATTTATTGCATTTTCTTCGTTTTGGGGGATTTGTGGGGGCGGCCGCGTACCCTAGCAAACACTGCGTACAGTCATGATTCAGGGGCTAAGCAATGGCCTCGTTACTGTGAGACCCCAGGATAAAAATTGTGTCGATCAGCTATATTAGTGCCCTTTTGTGAGGCATTAATCCTCATTACTGTCAATTATGATTTAAGGACGTAGGTTCCCTAGCTGATTAGCATAGTAGCACACAAATGATTTAGAAGTCACGCAAAACAAACACTCGCAAATTAATATTCAATAAAATCTGAGAATGTATGCCATTATCCAGATTTATTAGAAAAAACATTTTTTTTAATCCTTCCCTAAACTGGGGTAAAAATAATTATTCCACCATTATGACCAACAGTGTATGATGAAAAGTAGTTTCATGAATCACTATAGCGAATTTGAAGGAGAAACAAGGAGACAAAATTTAATATGCCCCTCCTGACAGAGTTTCCGACCAAGAAAAAAAAATTCAGCCATCCTTTACGTGCTTAGTAGTTAGCAGGTTATTTCATGGTTAGTAAATAATATCAACGCATGGAATAAAGACATATCCTAAATGGTCTTAGCCATAATAAGTCATTTGGGACAACACCCCCCCCCCCCCCGTAATGCAAGCCACTACCCTCACATATTGGTTTTAAAATGTACGGGTCACAGTAAGTTGAAATGTTTTCCCTTTTGCTGAGGCCAATTTGGTCTGAATACGCCACTGTCATTAATTATGATCAGAATGAATAAGTCATGGATAAATGGAAAGACTGATGATGCACAGGAGTGGTTCTAGAATAATAATTTATTTTATTTGGGAGGGGGAGGGGGGAGCTAGGCTTGGGGGGTTCTTGCATTACATTAAATTTCTACATTTGCCTTGCGATATATTTGAGCCACCCCCCCCCCCCCCCACAGCCCCCACCACCCACCACTGATGACACTTGTGTGAATTATGAATACATGTAGCATCAATTAATTTGCCAGATAGTTGAGGGAGATGTATTCCTGGGATTCCGGCGATATGTAAGCCCAGGGCCTCGTCAAAGAGAGGGTTTTGGTTCGAGTTACAACTTGGGTTTCAGCTAAGGTATATAGGCATAAAGTCTGGGTAAGGGTTAGGTAGATAGCGCTTGGCCTATATAGAGCTGAAGTTATAAGAATTCGGTTAATACAGGATTAATAATAACAATAATAATAATAATAATAATAATAATAATAATATTTAATTTTTATATAGCGCTTAATACAAATGTCTCTAAGCGCTTTACAATATACTATTACCCCGGTCATTGGATTCAGTGCTTGCCCGCACACACTGTGTGCACAATCTCCACTCCTTGGGGAGCATTCCAGCCGGGCGTTACTTGACGCTCACAAGCTGTATAATAATAATGATAGGATATATTGATCTTGATTGATTGATATTGAGTAAATGTCAATGAAACATGTGTTGTAGGCCATTTTCGTAATATTTTTATTGTAAATTTAATGCATATGTCTGTGTATTGTTTGTGAAGTGCCCTCGATGCAAAAAACAAACATTTATCTGTTACGAATAATTGTATTTCAATATTCAGAATTCAAATTGCATATACTACGTGTTGGTAGGTGGGGGAAGTAATAATGTTTGTCAAACCTAGCAACAATAAAAGTATGCAATTTGCACTCTGACTATTAAGATAAAATTATTCGTAACAGCTGAATGAAATAATTTGAATCGAGGCACTTCACAAAGACGTATGATTTGATTACATTACGAAAATGACATAATCATGACCTACTCTGTGTGCAAATCGATTCGACAGTGCAGACAGTTGAGGTTTAGGAGAGAGTCGACAAGTCGGATGAAGTAATTCTGA